AATGGTATCTTTATGACACATCAATTTCTTCTTCTTTTTACTATCTAAATAAAATATATAAATAAGAATTTTTTTTAGTAATGTTAATTGAATTTCTTAATCGGATTAATTAGCATTCACTTGTAAGTTTCTACATAAATCTTGAATGAATATCTCATAATTTTAATATAGATAGATAATCCACCTACCTTATTTATGTAGAAAGATTTTACACCGATTTTGAATTAACTCATCGTAATACAACAAGATTCTACGCGAGTGTTTTTTTTTTTTTCTCGTGAATTGGAATTTACAACATAGAAAAGTTGAGTTGTAAAAACCAACAAATTGATTGCCTACATGTAAAAGAAAAAAATATGCGTTAGTAAGGCGATTAAAAAAAAATCCAACTTGCACTTTCCTTTTTGAAAAAAAGCTAAAAGATACTTTTAACACACTCGTTAAATGGCTAGTTATTGGTAGTTACTAGTAGTTACATGTTATAATCAACAAAATTTGATTTTTAAAGAGTACTACAAGAAGTATAAATATATGTATATTTAATTTTTTTAGATCGAAAGGGGAAGTCATTAATATATACATATAAACATAACATACAAAAAAATAATTAGAAAGGGGGCAACTATCCCTTCCAACTCCTCTTTTTGCTATTTTTCATGGGTCTTGCGAAGATATAATATTGTCTAAAAATACGTCTATAAGTAATTAATTATTATCGATAAGTCTATTGGCATAGCAGAATATCGATGATAGGTTGTTGAGTTAACTAGCATATTTATTAATATGATAGTTGATGTTCCGATATGATATTTGGCATATTGGTATATTTATAAATGTGTTCCATGATGTTACTACAATTATTATGTCTTTTCATATTTTAAGGCGAAATTGTACATTGGACTAAAAGTAGGAAGGTATCCTCATGACACTTCATTTTTTTCTTTTTCTATTATAATTTAAGTAGAATATATGAATAAAAAGTGTTTTGAATAATGTTAACTCGTATTTCTTAACTATATTAATTAACATTCAATTGTAAGTTTCTACATAAATCTTGAACAAATATCTTACAATTTTAATTTAAATGGATAATCAACCTACCTTATTTATGAGGAAAGATTTTACACTTATTTTTTATTTAAAAGTCATCATGGTACGGAAAGATTCTAAATGTCTTTTATTAATTACTATTTTTAGAATTACAACTAGAAATTTCTTTTTTGAAGAAAAGCTAAAAAGTGTGCCTTGCATACTTGTTAAATGGCTAGTTATTGGTAACTAGTTGTAGTTACATGTTGTTATATTCAATAAAAATTGATTTTTAAAGAATACTATGAAATACATAAATAAACATATTTAGAATACTCATGTTTGGTAATATAAAATTATTTGACATGAGTGTTACGGTGATATAATATTATCGAAAAAATATCAATAGGAAAATCAATTAATAACAATAACTTTATTAACATAATAGATAGATCAATAAACTTGTTGAATTGACTAATGAGTTTTGATGTAGTATTTGGTCTATTGAAATGATAATCTAGCATATTTGTCTCTACCCAAAGTTCGTAGGACTCTCGAAAATAATACGATTCATTTATTATTGAAAATTTTGTTTGTTTGAAAATGTGAGTTATTTATTAATTTTGAAGTCACCACCTAGTATTAAAGGTAACTAGAAACCTAAAATGGACACTAGCTCAAAGATTCTAAAGTTAAAAGTTGATTGTACCTATGAGAAGATATCAATTATCCAAAAACATCATTTTATAGAAATGATACCATGTTTAATTTAGTCAAAAAGTTTAACTCCTAAAAATTTATATTTTTGCTAAATTGATCCCGAGTCAAAATTCCAAGTTTTATTTCCGAAGACTAATTAATTTTTTTTATTTTTATTTGTGGTATCATATTGAATCGATCGTCGGACCCATCTTCGAGAGTTCCGTCAATTCAATCGGATCTATTTTAAGTCTCGACATAACCGCTATGTTGGAGAAGGATAACCTAATTTCTAAGGAGATTAATTTTGAATTAATATTAGTCCCTATTGGATAGGAGACTCATTAAGATTGCTTAAATCGCTTTCTTTCTTTTTTGTTCTTTTCATGTTTTATTTTGAGCTATGTGAGAAAAACATTATTAAAATTAGTTTTTTTGTTCTTTTTCTACAACATCGTATTAAATTAATATTAGGCCTCAAAATTTGAGAGTCATTAATTTGGCATCGGATGTGAATTAAAGTCCTAACACGATTGGAACGACCTAATTAACTACAAGTATTTGCATGAAATGTTGAATAAAATTGATTCAACTTGACTCATTATTATTTTTTTTAGCATTTTTAATACTAAACAAATATATCAAACCACCGTCCATCTCCGATAAATAAGAGACTCGTTGGTTCGACATCACAATAGAATCAAACTCCATACATTAAAATAAATTTCACGACCTAAATATTTATAAGTTTTCTAACACACATAAAATTAACATTATCACAAAACAACATCATAAATTAATTAAAAAATAAATAGGTAAGAGAAACAAACCAAATAGTCACCGAAAAGTGAATAAAATTCCCCGCAATGTTGTTGGAAAATGACCAAAATGCCTCAGCTTTTTGAAAATGATAGAATTATCCCCGATGTTTAAAATGATTGAATCACCCTTGTTCACTATCGAGGTCGTTGTCGCCCATCCGATCACCAATCGATGCATGGATCACTCCGTTAAGATTGGGATATCCAAGTTGGACTTTCCGGTTCTAGAGGTGATGACCTTCGTCATTCGAGGAGGAGATCGACGATCGAAAAGTTTCGATCGATCTCCTCATTCTACTTTAGTCAATTTTGACAAGATTTAATAGCTTCCAAGCTCCAAATCGGACCAGAATAGCCCCTAGGAATTGTTGGAGCTTTGTTTTGGTCATTGGGTGGTATTATTGGCCAAAAAATAGAGGAAAAATAAATCACAAGCCGTGGGTCACACGGGTCCGAATTCGTTATCGATTTCCTCCCTCCCTCACCATTTTCCATAACTTTCATTGGTGGAGAAGAGTTGCTGTAAGTCGAAGGAGTAGTTATATAATGGTGGCTACTATTAATATCATTGAAAAATGCATAATTTGGGAGGACCTTATATCTAAGTCTAAAAATGGGTTTATTCGTCAACCTTCAATTTACGATTTCTCCTTCCTCCAACATCCTCTTCTACCTCAACCAGTTAAGAATGACGAATCTAATGGTGGGATATCGATTTGTCGTGGTGGATTGAAGCAATTTTAGTCAAAGGATGACTGATTTAAGGGAAGAAATGCCAATGACTCGTACATTGATCCGCGAGTGATCTACGTCGATAGACCCCTTTATAGGTTGTTTGGTAGACTTATCCTCATTTTTTTCTTGTTCTCTTGGGATCCGTGTCTTGTAAAACTTTTTTAGAGATATGATGAATGATAATTTTTCTACATTTTGCTTAGTTTTTTTTTTTTTACGGGCGAGGCGATGGTTATTAATGGTTAGGTTGTTTTATGATTGTGAATAATGGAGGTTAGATTGTTTTGGTTAAAGATGGCTAATGGAAGCTAGGTTTTTTTTTTTTTTGGATAGAAAGATGGGTGATGGAGGCTAGGGTTTTTTTGAGGTAGGGGAATCATTGTGGAGGCTATCCAAAATGAAATGAAACGGGTGTTTATAAATGGGTTTTTTAAGATTTGGGATAAAACCAATTTAAGTCCTTTCTTGGATTATTTTTCTCATTTTTAAAGTATATATTATTATTTATCTCTAATTAAGTTCTTAATTGAAATTGGTTAATCTTTGCTCTCTTGATTTTTTTTTTTACATCTGGTTAATTCTCAATCAAGTTTCTTGATTTTTATCCCTTTTTAATTACATTCATAATTGAATGTCACTTGGTTCTCACTTTTCACATCATTTTCGATTGGATCCCAAATCATCCGCTCAATTGTTTTTCATTCTTTTCTCTTTTTTTTCTTTTTTCTTTTCATCTTTTTTAATTAAAAATGAGAAATAATTCTAAGCAATTAAAATCCCAAAAAATTATAAAAATGCTTAAAAATATGAAAAATAGACTATGCAACATTCTTTTTTTAATTTTTGAATTTTTGTTTTAAATTTTGTATGAAAATGAACAAGGGGTCAAAATGTGTTATGACAGGTATATTATTAGACTTAATTATAAATGTGTTTTATGATTCTACTATAATTATTCTTTTATGTTTTAAGATGAAACTTGACCATTTGGATAAAACGAGTGGCATTTTAATTCCTTCTTCTTCTTCTTCTTCTTCTTTTAATATTTAAGTAGAATATATGAATAAGAAATTTTTTTAATAATGTAATTGAATTGTGTAACTAGATTAAGAAGCTTTCACATATAAGTCTCTACATAAACTTGAATGACTATCTCATACTTTTAATTTAGATGAGTAATCAACCTACTTTAATTATGCAAAACAATTTTACATTGATCTTGGATTTATAACTCATCGTTACATAGAAAGATTTTATATTGGTCTTAGATTTACAACTTAGCAACGTGAGTTGCAAAGATCGATGAACTAAATGCCTACACATATGGGTGAGCAAACGGTTCGGTTAATCGAAAACCGAATACAATCGAACCGAATTATAAAATTTGGTTTGATTTTTAATTTTAAAGTTTACTATTTATAAGCGACCAAAAAAACCAAAATTTATTTCCATTCTATTCAGTTTTTTTAAAAAATTCGATTCAAATCGAAAACCAAAATTTATTCTTAATTCTAATTTTGATTTGAGTGATTTCTCATTTCCAATTCCAAATACCAAAATACCAAATCGGTAAATCCCTAACCCTAACTCCCTAAGCGTCGCCGCCTCGCTACGTCTAGCCATCCGGGTGTCCTCTCTCACTCGGTCACTTGACTCACTCTCTCGGTCCTTACTCGAGTCACTCCTCACTCGGATCTCGCTCTTTGTGTCTCTCGACTAGTTGACTCGGCCTCGCTTCATTTCCTTCTCCGGTTCTCCCGTTGTCCCGCACTCTCGCAGTCCCGTCTCCACTCCACTCCTACATTGGCGGTCCGGCCGGTCCTCCGAGTCTCTAACCTCCAAGCTCCGGGCTCCAATTTGCTCACCCATCGTCGATCTCAAAGAGTCATGCCTCACGGACTCACGAGTCACGGTTATGGTCATCCACTCATCCTCATCAATCAAGGTGCATAATCTTTTTTAACAAACAAAGAGCGAAAGATCAAAGATGTTCGATTCTCCTACTTGTAAACCATATAATAAAAGCAATGAATTATTCTTTTGTCTCGTTTTTAATGCGGTTGCAATAAATTCTTGGATATGCTTTGTGCCCATTTTATGGGAGAATTAAACATAGGGTTAGCTTAGAAGTTGTGTTCTTTAATTGATGGTTTGGTTTATGCATTTGGAGTGTTCGGATGTTTTGATCGGTCTTGTTGTGAATGTTGTCTTGATTTTGTTGGATATTTTTTCTATTAGAGATTAGAGGCAATTATGGATTTATGTCAATATTTGGTGTTAATTTTAACATCTAGGTACTTACGGTTGCTATAAAATTAACTTCTCTTTATGCATTCAGATTTTTTTCCTTATCCGAGTTTGATCGATCGGTGTTGAGTTTATTTTTTTCCATTTTAATTTTGATATATTCGATTGTGCTCGACTACTCGTCGTAATCAAGATGCATGTCTTCATTTTATTGGAAATTTAGAATTGTTTGAGTTTTCCGAGTTTGATCAATCGGTGTTGAGTTTTTTTTCTTTTTAATTTTGATATATTCGATTGTGTCCGTGAGCCTATCTTCATTTTGTTGAAAATTTGGAATTGTCCGAGTTTTGCAAAACGTGGAATCCGACTTGGTGCCTACCGCCTTGTTACCTCCTCGCCTAACTAGATTTTTTTTTTTTTGGCTTAAGCTTAAGGAGTGTGAACTGTGAAGCTTAATACTCTTTTTCTTATGTTTTTATGTAGATGTCGCAATCTCAATCCGTAGAGATGAATTATGAAACTATGGATTCAAGCAATCCTAATCCACAATCAAGTGCAACTCCAAGTAACACTCAATACGGTGGTAAAGGAAAAAGAGGAAATCAATGAAGCCAAGATCGATGGTGTGGGATCATTTCATAAAGTTTGAAGATGACAAGAAAACATGAAGGCTAAATGTAACTATTGTGATAAGGTATTTGCTTGTGATCCTTCAAAAAATGAGACAACTTCACTTAGGTCTCATGTTTTGACTTGCAAAAAAACTCTTTTAGTTGTATTGACTCGCCCAAACTCAATTAGACCTAAGAAAGCTTGAAGCGGGAGAAAACAATCTTACCACATGGAAGTTTGATTAAAATATTAGTAGAAAAGATTTAGCTGAAATGATCATTCTAGATGAGCTTTCATTTAAGCATATAGAGGGCGGGGATTCAAAAAGTTTTTATCTAATTTGCAACCTAGATTCAAGCTTCCATCTCATTTTACAATTTTAAGAGATTGCTATCAAATTTATTTAGATGAGAAAATAAAGTTGAAGCACTTTTTGAAACAAAATAGTCAAAGAATTAGCCTTACTACGAACACATAGACATCTATTCAAACAATCAATTACATATGTTTAACGGCTCATTTTATTGATAATGATTGGAAGTTGCATAAAAAGATCTTGAATTTTTGTCCGATTGATAGTCATAAGGGAGTAGATTTAGGTATTGCCATTGAGAAATTCTTGATTGATTAGGGAATTGAGAAGTTTTTAGTGTTACGATTAATAATGCGAGTTTGAATGATGTGGCAATTAGGCACTTAAAAGATATGATTAAGAATTGGGGTTATAGCATCTTAGATGGTGAATTCATTCATATAAGGTGTATGGCACATACTTTGAATCTAGTTGTTGTTGATGGGTTAAAACATTTTAATCCTTCAATCGTTTGTATTTGATCGACCATTAGGTTTGTGAGGCAATCTCTAGCTAGGTTAAAAAGATTTCAAGAATGCATTAAACTTGAGAAAATTGATTCTATGAGTTTGTTACAACTAGATATTGCTACAAGGTGGAATTCAACATACTTGATGTTAGAGTCGACTCTAAAGTTTAAGAGAGCTTTTAAGAGATATAAGTAAATTGATCCTTTATATAGGAGTGAATTTGATGTAGATCATGGTGATAATCTTGTTGGGCCGCCTAATGTTGATGATTGAAAGTCTTGTAAGAAGTTGGTGGGCATGTTGAAAATTTTTTACAATCTCACTTTACATATTTCGTGTTCTTTGTATGTGACTTCAAATATTTATTTTGAAGAGATTTATGCTCTCGAACATTTTTTTGAAAAAATGGCAATGAAGTGGGGATTTAGATGATTTTACGTTGGCAATAAAATGAAAGAAAAGTTTGAGAAATATTGGGGGTATATTAAGAAAATGAATAAGTTGATTTCTACCGCAACAATACTTGATCCTATGCATAAACTTGTATTTATTAAATTTTCAATCAATGAATTGTATGGTGATTTAGAGGTTCAAAGAATGTCAAATATTGCCATGGAATCTATGTATGCTATGTATGATTTCTATTGTCGTTCTTAAGATGAAATTGGCCAAGGTAGTGGGAGTCGGGAAATAGATGTGGGTTATGCAAATGAAAAAATGATTGATGAAGAAGAAATTAGAATAAAAGGGGAGATAATGATGTGTTTTGAAAAATAAAAGTGTGATATTGGAGGTGGAGGAAATAAAACGGAGTTGGATAAATATCTTAGTGAAGGTGCTGAAAATAACAAGTGCTGATTTTAATATTTTAGAATGGTAGAAAACCAATCCTCCTCGATTTCTCATCCTTTCACAAATGGCTAGGGATATATTGGCGGTTCCTATTTCTACTCGTTTCCTCGTAATCGATATTTAGCACTCAAGGAAGGGTTCTTGACTAATTTAGGAGTTCTTTGACTCCTAGCTTAGTGGAATCTCTTATATGTGCTCAAGATTGGATTAAAAATTCATCGACACTAATTATTATTGAAGAAAATTTGCAAGATGTTGAGAAAATGCAAGATGGTAATTTCTATAACTCTTACCTTTTCATTTGTTATTTCTTTCTTCTATATTAATGTTAAAAGTTTAATTTTCTTATCTTATAACTTTCGGAGTTACCACTTGCTACTACCTCTATTACAAATGGTTGAATCCTTATGGGTTGATGACTTGATGGTGTTTTAGCGTGATAAATGGTATGTGTAAGTTACTAAGTTTCTACTTTCTAAGTTTGATTTTTTATTTCTATTATTTATGCAAGTTTAGTCGGTAAGTGAGAATTATAAATTTTTATTTTTATTTTCATTTTCATTGAACTAGAGAAGAGAACCATAGTAAATAGTAGCCTATCGCCTCGGTGCCTCGTGCCCATCGGCGTAGGCCTACGAGCGATGGCCGTAGGCCTACTCGCATGGGCGTAGGCTTACTCGCCTTGGTGTCTCATGCCTACCGACAGTGGGCGGTAAGCCTACCGCCTTTGATTTTCATAGTATGTTAATATCCTCTTTCGGGAGCATTAAGTGTTTATTGGGATTTCATTCTATTGCGGATCCCGAAGGAGTGAAGGTATTGCAAATGCACATAAATTATTTATTTTAGGACGGGAAGAGAACTCGTGTCTTGTCCTCTTTGTTGAGAAATGAGAACGGACATTCTACCATGCTTTTGTTATTTAATGTCGATTGCATTGTATCTAGATCTTTGTTTCATCAATAATTATTTTGCATGACTTATTTTCTTTTTCGATATATGAATGTTAAACATGTTGGGTGTTTAAATTTGACTTTAATTATGAATTTTTTTTTTGGTGTTGAATCCTTGTTAAAAAAGAAAGTGGTTACTTGTTAGCTCGGTATTGCTAATTACTCAGCTTAGGCAAAGAAAAAATAAATAAAAGTTTTAGGAGAACTGTCTAACGTCCGAAATGGAGAAGTAATGAAAAAGTTTGGTTAAACCAAATTATTTCAAAACCGAACCAAAATAATTTGGTTACAAACTGAATTAACCGAATTAATTTTGGTTCGGTTTCGATTTTTATTTTTCCCACTTTGGTTAATCAAAAACCGAACCGAATTATGCTTAATCGAACCGTTTAACCGAATACTCACCCCTACCTACACGTGAGGAAAAAAATCTATATCGGTAAGCTAGTTAAAAAAAATTAAGGGGTTGAAAGATCTATCGGCTTTAATTTCTACATTAGAAATAGATAATAATGAAATAGCACTTCCATTTTTGAAAAAAAAATAACCAATACTCTTAGAACACTCATTAAATGGCTAGTTATGAGTAGTAGTAATAGTAATATATTGTTATAATCAATGAGATTTGAATTTCAAAGAGTGCTATATAATATATAAATATATGAATTTAGGATTTTTTTTTCGAAAGGAAAGTCATTGCTATATACATATCATTGGAAAAAAATAAGAGGGCAATGACTCTCCTCTCTAATCCCTTTTGACTATGTTATTTGACTCAAATCTTATGGTAATATAACATTGTTGGAAAATAAGTCAACAAGTAAATTAATTAATATGCATAAGTTTATCGACATGATAGATCGATAGATCAACTCGTTGAGTTGATAAACATGTTTCTTAATGTGATAGTTGATCAACCGACGTAATCATCTCGCCATATTAATAGACTTATAAATGTGTTCTATAATGGTACTATAATCATATCCTCTTATGTTTTAAGATGAGACTTGGTCATTGGACTAGAAGTGGAGAGGTATCTTTACAACACATCAATTTTATTATTATTATTATTTTAGTAGAATATATAATAAGAAAATTTTTTAATAATGTTAATTTAATTTCTTAATTTGATTAATTAGCATTCACCTAGAAGTTTATACATAAATCTTAAACGCATATGTTGTGATTTTAATCTTGATGGATAATCAACCTATCTTATCTATGTGGAAAGATTTTACACAGATTTTGAATTTATAACTCATCGCAATACAATAAAATTCTACTTTTTTTAAAGAGAATTGGAATTTACAACTTAGAAACATTGAGTTGTAAACACCAATGGACTAAATGCCTACATGGAAGGAAAAAAAAAGCTATGTCGGCAAGTTAGTTAAAAAAAAATTAATCCAACTCACACTTTCATTTTTTGAAAAAAGC